GCTGGAAAAAACTTCTTTTTCCTGTAACAGTAGCTATGTATTATCCATATATATATATATATATATATATATATATATATATGGGGCAGGATATTCTTACACCGGTGTAAGAGTTAAAAGTCTTACACTCAATCTTGACCATTGATCCACTTGTATCAAATGGCTCACATTAATAAAAAATTAGAGCCTTGAGATATAAGTGGAATCAACGGACAAGATTAAAGGTGTAACTTACACTGGTGTAAAATGATCCTAACCCTATATATATATATATATATATACACACGGGGGTTCAAGAAACACTAGCCTTAAATTGAATGGGCTCCTGGTTTTTTTAACTCTTCTTACACACTTCACCCAGTTGGATTTTAGTGAAAGAGCAAAACCCAATTAACATTCCTAACTTTAGTCAAACGATTTTTCTTAAACTAGAGTTTAACATCAACATCAACATCAACAACACCTTTATCCCAAATTAATTAGGGTCGGTGGTAGATGAACTCACATTAAAGATATAAAACGGTTGAAAAAAAAGTAAAAAAAAAAATATAAATAAATAAATAAAATAAAATAAAATAAATAAATTAATTAATTAATAAATAAAAATACACAAATAAAATAAAAATATATGTATATATAAATAAATAAAAGTAAAAAAGAAAGGGACAAGAAGAAGTGGGGGAAATGAAGGGGAAAAGGACTAAAAAGGGACCATCTGGAACATAGGAATAACAGCGGGTCTAACCCTCCACCATACTTATAGCTTTTCTCCATTCCTTTCTAAGACATACTGTCCGCCAATCTATATCTCACTCCATTAAATCTTGTTTTACTACTTTCCCCAAGTAAGCTTCGTCATAAATTATAAAAATGCTTCATCATATACCACATAGTCAAAGTCAGGTCCACTCTCGACATTACTAACAATTTATATTTCCTAAAATTAGATTGTATCTTGATTCTATTTATGATATGTTATTTTTTTACAAGGATTTAAACTATTTCTTTTCTATTTAGTTTCTCTGGTGCATATTCATGGCCAATTTGATATAATAAGTCTGTGTCCCATGTATGATCTCCGTGAGCCTCGCCTTTTTTTTTTTTCTTTTGCAATATTGGAATGAAGAAAGAACCCACCTTACACAACCATTAAATTGATCTGTATTTGCTGTCACTTATTTTTTTGAGCTCTTATGCCATCATAAATTTGCAGGAGCTCTTATCCTTGCTCCTTTGCAACAAATCTTGATTACTTTGCGTATAACAATGATTTTGATATTTCTTACATAGCCTTGATACAAGACACACTAGTACCATATATAAGCGTATTTATAACTCCATCATTATTCGTTGAGTTTCAAAATATACTCATCCATGTTTCTCCCGTTTGTCATTTACATATTCTTAAATATGTAACATATCTTTGATAGAGGAATAACATTAAGAGGTGACATTTAATCATTCTTAATGAGAAAGAAATACTTGCTCAAACTAGTTAGCAATTTGTTGCCTCTTTCACGAGTTCAGTCATAATAGTAAAATAACCATTAAACTTGGATTCTCTTGGCCTTGATTTCATCTCTTCCTTTCTTTTCTTTTTTTTAAAAACTCATATCTTCCTTTCTAGTCAGGTGCAGTTAGGTGAGGCCTAGCCCATGTCAGCATCACACTAGGCCTGGACTTTTTTTTATACATGGGCCTGAATTAATTTAGGAACGAAACGTATATACAATATCGAATTAAATATAAAATATTATTAACATAAATATAAAACTGTTCATAATATTATTCTTAGTGTTTTTTTAGAATATAAGGGCATACAAAGTTATGAAATCACATTATTTATAGGAAAAAAATATCTGTTCTTTTAAATGATATAAACTTATACCATTTTGGATCTTAACCATTGATTTATATCCATCAACGGTTATAATTTATTTGATCAAAATTATTAATTAATTAATAATAAATTTGGCCCATTAAGTTTGACCCAATAGATTATAACCGTTGATGGACGAAAATCAACGGTTAGGATCTAAAATGATATAAGGTTATATTTTTTAAAAGAATAGATGTTTTTCCCTTATTTATAATGGGATTTGATTATATATATATATATATATATATATATATATATATATATATATATATATATAGAGCTTAACGTTTCTCAAGCTGCTTGAGATAATTTTATCTCCGGTTACTAAATCATAACCGTACAAAGATGTACCAATGGTGATAAAGGAAGAGAAAGAAAAAGAGAATCATAACCATTCAAACGTAAATCAATTAATATAAGGAAATAAATAAATAAAGTGACGTAGTTTTTTAAATAGACGGAGATAAATATATCTCAAGCTGCTTGAGAAATTTTTTTCTCTATATATATGTGGGCTTATATTTCTGTAGTGGCTGTCTCTACAGCACGGATACGCAACTTTTCAAAAAAATTGCGTGTCGAACACGTGTCCGACACAGACACGCTCCGACACGCAGTCAATATTTGAGGACACGCGGTCAACTCTCGGTTACGTTCCGACATGTTTTCCGACACGTGGTCAACGCTCGAACACGTTTTTTTTTTTTTAAATCTTAATTTTATTTTGTTAACTAAATTAAAAGAAATAATTTATAAATTAATTTTTTTTCTGTTATGAAATTTGACATGAAAAATTAACAAAGTACGAAAAATTATTTATATTTATGTTATGAAATTTAAATATTTGATTCGTTATATGACTTATTATAGACTCTTATATGTATTAAATATAAATTATATTATATATATTAAAATTTTTATTTAATATCAAAACGTGTTCCAACGTGTCGAAATATGACATTTTTTAGAATTAACGTGTCGGCGTGTCGTGTCGCGTCCCGTGTCCGTATCCGTGCATCATAGGTGGTTGTAAGTGCAACAATCAAATACTTGTCATATATGTATAAAAGTATTAAATGAGAAGAATCATAAACATACAAAATATGAAAGCATTAAATGTGGGGAATCATAACCATACACCTGTCATTGCTATACGTAAGGCGGCTGTAGAAATAATTTTACCTATATATATATAATTCAGTTCAGTATAACTTTTTTTATTCGAGATCATTAAAGTGAAGTGATTTGATTCTTTGTCCTAAATGGATTTAGAAAAAAAAAAGTGAAATTCTTAAATCAATTAAAAAAAATATTAAATTATCAAATCGATAAAAAAATATATTTAATTATTCGGTTTATTGATGATTCAATTATATTTTTACACCCAATGTGACACCTTAGAGGAAGAGTGTAACAGTCCAAAACCCCGTTGTAAACACCGGTCCAGGGCCAGGCTCTGATAACAAATGTAACATTTACAAACTCCTGTAGCATGATATTGTCCGCTTTGCCCTTGGGCTCACGGTTTTGTTTCTTGGGACACCCCACAAAAGGCCTCACACTAAAAGAGGTATCCACACCCTTATAAAGCATGTTTCGTTCCCCTCTCCGACCGATGTGGGACATTACAAAGAGGAAGGTTGAGCAAGTGTTATTCTTGACGCATAGTGGACGTCCGTAATTTTATTAGGTTTTTTCTAGCATGCATTTTTTATCCTTAACATGATCATTCCAATCAAAATTGTCACTATGTTTTCATAATAGTAATATAAATTATCAGCTCCCGTCATATAATTTTATGGGAGCCACTGTTACATAATCATGGAAGAACAATCACAGTTGACCTGCATTCGCTGTTGTAATCCTCATTTTCAAGCTCTCTTGCCACCATAAATTCACAGGAGCTTTTATCCTTGCTCGAGGAGAGCAAGTGCAACAAGTCTTAGTAGCTTTGCGTACAAGACACACTAGTACCATATTTAAGTGTATTTATAACTCCATTATTGTTCATTGAGTTTCAAACTATACTCATCCTTGTTCCTCCCTTTTGTCATTTACAGATTCTTAAATCTGTAACACATCCTTGATAGAGGAATCACATTGAGAGATGAGATTTAATCATTCTTAATGAGAAGGAAATACTTGCTTAAACCAGTTAGTAAATTGTTGCCTCTCTCACGAGTTCGGTTATTATAGTAAAATAACCATTGAACTAGGATTCTTTTGGCCTTAATTTCATCTCATCCTATCTAGTCAGGTTCAGTTAGGTGAGCCTAGCTCATATAAACATCACATTGAGCCTGAACTTTATATATATATATATATATATATATATATATATATATATATATATATATATATATGGGAAAAATGTTTTCGCAATTAATGCAAAGAAGTTATTTGCATTTATTCTCAAAGCGGCGTCGTTTTCGTATTAAAATCTTAAAAAATTATAAATATAAAGATTATTATAACTCTAAAATAAATTAAAATTACAAAAACATCATGATTTTCATCCCAAAACGACGTCGTATTGGCTTACTGCAGATAAGTTATCTGCAGTAACTGCAGAAAAAACGAACCCTATAAATATATATAGAGGCCTGAACAAAAAGATATATACAATATTAAATTAAATATAAAATATTCTAATATATAAATAAATATATAATTGTTCATAATATTATTCTAAGAGTATTTTTAGAATACAAGGGCATACAAAGTAATTAAATGAAATTATTTATAATGTGATTTGATTTTATTCATGATTTGATATATATATGTATATGTATATAATCAAAGAAATAGGTATAATTCAGTTCAGTATAATTTATTTTTTTGGAGATCAGTGAAGTGATTAGATTTGATTCTCTGCCCTAAATGGATTTAGAAAAAAAAAACGGTGGAATTCTTAAATCAATTAAGAAAAATTTAAATTATCAAATCGATCAAAAAAATGTATTTAATAATTCGATTTATTGATGATTCGATTATATTTTTACACACAAACAACATCGTCTTAGGAGTTAGGACCCCACTTATGGAACATTCTAGACACTCTCCCTTTAACCTATATATATACCTTCTCTTTCTCTCAATACTCATTCAAACCCTTATTCTTCTGAACTCTTTCTTCTTTATCTCTGTCTCTCTCAATTTTCCAAGGCTTAAAGTTTCGTTGGAGAATATGGCCGCAAAAGGTGAAGGACCGGCGATCGGAATCGACCTCGGCACCACCTACTCCTGCGTCGGAGTGTGGCAACATGACCGCGTTGAGATCATCGCTAATGATCAGGGGAATCGTACGACGCCGTCTTATGTTGCCTTTACCGACACCGAAAGGTTGATCGGGGATGCCGCTAAGAACCAGGTCGCCATGAACCCACTCAACACCGTTTTCGGTAATTCATCTGAAAAATTAAACCCCTTTTTCTGCTCAAGTTTTCAAAAGTTTAACTTCGATTGATTAACATGTCTCGCATTTAGTTTTCTAGTTGTTATCATCGATTGATCTCCTTTTAATCGGTAGGGTGTTTAGTTTAGATGTAAACTTTTAATTTTAATTAGGTATTTTGCTGAATTAGTGGGTAGCAGATTGATAAGCATGCGTTGATTAGGTTTGAATAAACATCAATATAAGACATGAATGAGCAATTCTTTTAACCTATTTCAATTAAAAAGTTTTTTTTTTTAATTCCTATCACATAGTTGTTTTACTGTCTTGGAATGCTGTTTGTATGTGTTGTGTGGAAGGTTTTCTTTTTGCTTGGCACGATATGGCTGGTAATTGGTGATTGTTATTTTGCAGATGCGAAGAGGTTAATTGGTAGGAGAGTTAGCGATTCTTCTGTTCAGAGTGATATGAAATTGTGGCCATTCAAGGTTGTTGCTGCTGCTGGTGACAAACCCATGATTGGTGTTAACTACAAGGGTGAGGAGAAGCTATTTGCTGCGGAGGAAATCTCGTCTATGGTCCTAACAAAGATGCGGGAGATTGCAGAGGCTTACCTTGGGTCAACTGTGAAGAATGCTGTTGTAACTGTGCCTGCTTACTTCAATGACTCTCAGCGTCAAGCTACCAAAGATGCCGGTGTTATTGCTGGCCTCAATGTCATGAGAATAATAAATGAGCCAACTGCCGCAGCTATTGCCTACGGCCTTGATAAGAAAGCTACAAGTGTTGGTGAGAAGAATGTCCTGATCTTCGATCTCGGAGGTGGAACTTTTGATGTTTCTCTCCTCACCATCGAGGAGGGTATCTTCGAAGTTAAGGCCACAGCCGGAGACACTCACCTTGGAGGTGAGGACTTTGATAACAGAATGGTGAACCACTTTGTACAGGAATTCAAGAGGAAGAACAAAAAGGACATTAGCGGAAACCCAAGAGCCCTGAGGAGGTTGAGAACTGCTTGTGAGAGAGCGAAGAGGACGCTCTCATCCACTGCTCAGACCACCATTGAGATAGATTCTTTGTTTGAGGGTATTGACTTCTATTCAACAATCACTCGGGCTAGGTTTGAGGAACTCAACATGGACCTTTTTAGGAAGTGTATGGAACCTGTGGAGAAGTGTCTTAGGGATGCTAAGATGGACAAAAGCACTGTTCATGATGTTGTCCTTGTTGGTGGCTCTACTAGGATTCCTAAAGTTCAGCAGCTGCTGCAGGACTTCTTCAATGGGAAGGAACTGTGTAAGAGCATCAACCCTGATGAAGCCGTTGCTTATGGAGCTGCTGTCCAGGCAGCTATATTAAGTGGCGAAGGCAATGAAAAGGTTCAAGATTTGTTGCTTTTGGATGTCACCCCCTTGTCTCAAGGTTTGGAGACTGCTGGAGGTGTCATGACTGTATTAATTCCACGGAACACTACGATTCCTACTAAGAAGGAACAAGTATTCTCTACATACTCTGATAACCAACCTGGTGTCTTGATTCAAGTTTATGAGGGTGAGAGAGCAAGAACTAAGGATAACAACTTGCTGGGTAAATTCGAGCTTTCAGGCATTCCTCCAGCTCCCCGTGGTGTTCCTCAAATCACTGTTTGCTTTGATATTGATGCTAATGGTATCTTGAATGTCTCTGCCGAGGACAAAACCACTGGGCAGAAGAACAAGATTACCATTACCAATGACAAAGGAAGATTGTCAAAGGAAGACATTGAGAAGATGGTTCAAGAAGCAGAGAAATACAAGTCTGAAGATGAGGAGCACAAGAAGAAGGTTGAGGCGAAGAATGCCTTGGAGAACTATGCCTATAACATGAGAAACACCATAAAGGATGAGAAGATCAGTTCAAAGCTTTCCTCGGAAGACAAGACAAAGATTGAGAATGCAATTGAGCAGGCCATTCAATGGCTTGATGCCAATCAACTTGCTGAAGCTGATGAATTTGAAGACAAGATGAAGGAACTTGAGAGTTTATGTAATCCTATTATAGCCAAAATGTATCAAGGCGGGGCTGATGTAGGTGGTGATGTGAATGATGATGCTCCACCTGCAAGTGGTAGCGGTGCTGGCCCCAAGATTGAGGAGGTTGACTAAAATGGATTTGTTAGGCATTGGTAGAAAATGATGCGTATTAGTATTTGTTTTTTTGTTTGGTTATGGCTATTATAGAATTTTGCTTTCATAAATTGATTGCTGATTTTAATTTGTCATTGGTTTTGATAATTGAAAAACTGTCAGCTGTTATCAAAAAAAAAAAAAAAACTGTCAGCTCATTATTACCCTGGATCATGTAATTTTAGATTAGATTTTGCTATATTTCAGTTTCAAGCTAATTTAAATTGGGCAATTGTTACTTATATGGCGCAAATATATATATATATATATATTATATATGAGGTAGGATTTTTTGACAGCAGTGTCAAATTTCAAATTTGACACTGGTGTTAAAGGATCCTACTATATATATATATATATATGTCTGTATGTCTATATATAAATTTTAATTAAAGAAATTATATATAGGCACGCATATATATATATATATGTGTGTGTCAAATTTTAAATTTGATACTGGTGTTAAAGGACCTTACAATATATATGTGTGTGTGGAGAGAGAGAGGTGTAGGGGTTTTTGCCTATATATAAATTTTGGTAGGTTTTTGCCTAAATATCCCCTATATGTGTGAAAGTGTCGTTCCTAGTCCATTTTCATGGCCTTACGAAAAATTCCTCCTTGTTCCATTGCTATCAAACACAAGATACCAGAAGCCCAGACAAGTATAATTTACTAGGCGTGGATATGTTCTCTCTGTGTCCTTGACAGCTTTTGCTTTTGTGACGTCCTTCAACATATGATCAATCTCTCTCTCTCTCTCTCTGCGATTCCAATCTATTCCTTCTTGGTTAACCATGGCCTCGCGTTGCCCCACATTAGCTCAATCATATACCTGTTACATTCTTGGCCACTTTAACTATATATATATATATAGGGTGATCATTTTACACCAAAAAGAAATTTTTTTTGAAATCTTGAGTATGAAATTAAATAATTTCATTGCTAGCTAGGTATCAAATTCACCACAAGAAAACTAATTAATTAGCTGTTACCTCAAACATTCATACTATTTTAATTTTATTCTGAGGACATATATTTAGGGGATTTCGATGATATCGCTATAAATCTATATCAAAAGTCACTATAAACTTTACTAACAGCTATATAGATGGCTAGTTATCGAGTATACATGTTTATCTTCTAATGTTCTTCTTTAATTTATTCAGTAATCGAAGATGTTTTCAAAACAACATTACACAAGAAAGATATTAATATCGAAGCAATCAGAAAAATCAATGTGCTTACATTTATTGAAATATATTAAGAAAATGTCTTGTTTCATTTTTTTTTTATGCTAGTCTGTTCTTTCTCTCTTTTTTTAGTATTAATGGAGGGCATCATGCCCAGAGAAATAGAAAAAACAAACTAAAGAAACAAAATGAATATCCTTGCAAAAGATGCAAGTTATCTCCTACATAATCCTCATCAGTCCTAAAGCAATCAGTTCAATGCAGGGGAAAGAGCTTTTTAAAGGTAACAATTCCAAGACATGTTGATGATCACATCCAAGGTTTGCTAAGTAATCTGCACACTTGGTTGAGTAATTTTGACACTCAAATTTTGCCCCAGCCAAAATCTAATTTGTTGGAGTAAATGGGAGTAGCCCTTGGCACCTTCATTCTTAGTCACACAGGAAATAGCCTCAAACAAATCGCTTTCCACGATGAGCTTTGACACGTAAAAGTAAGCCCTTTGTATATGTCCCAAAGAGTTCAGCTTCAAGGGCACTACACGTTCCAATGGAATAAGAGAATCCTCCATTCCAATCACCAAATGAATTTCGGGCCAGACCACCACAAACACCCATTGAATTATGCTGAACAAATGTTTCATCTACATTCATCTTTAGCCATTGGGATGGTTTTATATTTGTTCGTTCCAATGTTAAATAAATTCCATGCATTTAGTAAAGAATTAGTGATCGATTCTTTATCAAAAGAATTAGGGTATTTAATTCTTTTCTTTTAGGCGCAATTGGATCTGCCGAAGCATTTAGACGGCCTTTTTACCTTCTTAATGTAATATTTATAATGTTTAACCTGAATAATTTCTTAATCAAACTATCTACCTAAACAATGCATAACGACGCGTTAGGCTGGAAAACGTATCAAAACATGATACAATGGATACCGCGTCATGTGCAAGGCTATTTGCAGGTCCATCATGAGCCTGGAACGCGTTAGCATCACAGCCGCGTCCCATAAAACCATATACAAGGGACTTGACACTCAAATTATCATGTGTCAAGTCCTGTGCAAGGCTCCACTCACGGTGAACTTTATTTTGCAAAAGTCATTAATTTCCTTAACAGACACACTAGAAATCAACCCTGATGTTTGTGGTTGCACTGATCGGTTGTGTGAATGTGGGCTCATTCACATTTCTCATTTTTTATCTTTCTATTTTTTTTTTACTCTAATTTATATTAGTGTAGTTTATTGTTACTCTCACCTCACTTTGACTCTAATATGAAACCGATACTTAATATAAAGGAAAAATTTCTTAAGTACCTAAAAAAATTTGAGTCAAGCCAAAAAATACAATTTAACAACTTATCATAAAATATGGGACCTTTAAAAAACATAAAAATACAATTATGCATAAAACTTAGGGTTCGCTTTTTCTGCAATTACTGCAGATAAGTTATCTGCAGTAAGCCCAATACGACATCGTTTTGGGACGGAAATCATGGTATTTTGTAATTTTAATTTATTTCAGGGTTATAATAGTCTTTATATTTATAATTTTTAAAATTTCAATACCAAAACGACGTTGTTTTGAGAATAAATGCAGATAACTTATCTGCATTAACTGCAGAAATGTTTTTCCCTAAAACATAAGATCACTAACCTAAAATATTAATATAACTGAAGTTATAACAATAATAATAATAGCATTTTATGTAATTAAATATAAAATATTGATAACATAAACAATAGCAAATTATTACAATAACATAACTGAAATTTTTTTAGGTACTTAAGAAATTTTTGTAGTTATATTATAAAATAGTTGCAATTAAATATTTGTAGCAAATTATTGCGTTATTATTATTATTACTGTTTTATATTTATTTGCATAAAATTTTATTATTATTGTATTAATTATACTATGAAAGTTGTTAAATATGCTATAAAATTTTATTAATATTTTAGGTTAGTGATGTTATATTTTATGCATAATTGTATTTTTATGTTCTTTAAAGGTCCCATATTTTATGATAAGTTGTTAAATTGTATTTTTTGACTTGACTGAAATTTTTTTAGGTACTTAAGAAATTTTTGCTTTATACTAAGTATCGGTTTCATATCAGAGTCAAAGTGAGGTGAGAGTAACAATAACCTACACTAATATAAATTAGAGTAAAAAAAAATAGAAAGATAAAAAATGAGAAATGTGAATGAGCCCACATCCATACAACCGATCAGTGCAACCACAAACATTAGGGTTGGTTTCTAGTGTGTCAGTTAAGGAAATTGATGACTTTTGCAAGATAAAGTTCACTATGAGTGGAGCCTTGCACAGGACTGACACATGATACTTTGAGTGCTGCGTCCCTTGTATATGGTTTTATTGGACGCAGCTGTGATGCTAACGCGTTCCAAGCTCATGATGGACGTGCATAGCCTTGCACAAGACGCAGTATCCATTGTATCATGTCTTGATACGTTTCCCAGCCTAACGCGTCGTTATGCATTGTTTAGGTAGATAGTTTGACCAAGAAATTATTCAGGTTAAACATTATAAATATTACGTTATGAAGGTCAAAAGGCCCATTTAGACTATTGTGGTTTGGGATATCGTGGTTCTAATTTATCTCGTGTAGCGCAGATCTGTGCAGCATCTCTTCGTGTTTGATTCCTCTTCACAAATTGTTGTTCTCTGCACGAACAATTTCCTTGAAGTTGGAGAGTGGTAGATCTTTCGGAATATGTTTCAAGAAGGAATAAGGCTGGTGTGGGCACTCTTTTATTATCATGAAGATAACTTTACTTCTGCGTCTACAACCACAAAATAGAGACAAAAAGGCTGATGACTGCAAGTGTAAAATATAAATAGATTCCAAGAAACTTTAGCCCTAAGCTGAATGGGCTCTTGGTTTCTTGAACTTTTTTTGCACACTAAGCCTAATTGGATTTTAGTGAAAGAACAAAACCAACATTCCTAACTTTGGTCAAACAATTTTTCTTAAGACTAGAGTTTAACAAAAGATAAAAATCCTAGGTAAATAATTTATAAAAATGCTTCATCATATACCACTTGGTCCAAACCAGGTTCACCCTCCACATTACTAATAATTTATCTTTCCTATTTAACAAAATAAAAATAAAATTATCTTTCCTAAAAACTAGATTGTATTTTGATTCTATTTATGATATGTTATTTTGTTACTTTATATCATGTGTATAGAATATAAAATGACGAAATTATAAGGATTTAAACTATTTCTTTTTTATTTAATGGGGTGTATTAGAGTAGGTTTTGAAAAGACTTTTTTGAGATAAAAAAATCTTATAGATTTTAAAAGATTATTTAGAATTGGAGGGACTTAAACTCTTTTTTAAAAGACTTTTTTTATGATCAAGATTTCATAAGATTAGATTTTAAAAGATTATAATAGAATTTATAAGATTTGAAAGGACAGTATGAATTTATAAGATTTTAAAAAATCATATAAATTTTTAACAAACATTCAAAATTACAAGAGTCAATAAAAAAAACAAAGAAATGCAATGATATTAATAAATTAAAGTAGAATTTAATATAATTTTCTCAATCAGTAAAATATAATATAATTTTTAACAAACATTCAAAATTACTAAGCAACAGCCTGTGATACACTGACACATTATTTTTTTTGAAAAAATGGGTGTCGGACGCGACACCCATTTTGGGACACGTTGACTATGTGGACACGCGATTTTGATCGTGTCCGACTCCGTCAAAAGGTAAAAATGTTAAAATTTTGAATTTTTTATAAAATTAAAATCTGTGGACCAACGAGAAGAACCTCTTCCAATGTTTCCATGGCGTGAAGGGTCTATTGTAGGCATTATCAGCCTCATTTTCTCCACTTTCATCATCCATCATTGATCTCTCCTATGACACATCGTTGTTCCTACTGATCAACGACAAAGACGACAGTGACGTTATGATACTGCTCCGCTCCTTAGACACCTTCGCCCTCTTCAAGACATCA